ATAGATAGATAGATAGATAGATAGATAGATAGATAGATTTGAATGTAAACATCTGACAGAAGTCTGTCTGGTTGGGTATGAAACTGGGAGATTTTATAGGCTCCAACCAAAAGTTTTTAAGAGACCCGACGTTTCGGAACCGACTTGGTTCGTTCTTCAGGGTGACTGCGTAGGCTACGTAGCAGCAGCGTCTTCCAAGCACTCGAGGGGTGGCTGATGACCTCTCTCTCTGTCTCTCTCTGTCTCTCGTTTTGTCGTGGAGCGCAGTCCATGTGTGTACACTGGGGGAAGGGTTCTGTGAGAGCGGTTGACGTGGGCTGTTCCCTGAACGTGCCACCACTCGAGTAACAACCTTCTCCTCCAGTTCGGCTTGCTTTCGAGGATGGCCGTCACTTCGAAATTTATCTTGTAGTCCAATGTCTCCGCAGTCGCCGAACATGCGGAGACATTGGACCACAAGATAAATTTCGAAGCGACGGCTTCGAAATCTATCTATTAATCTATATATATATATATATATATATATATATATATATATATATATATATATATATAGTTTACAGGCGGTCGCTCAGGTTTGTTGACTCAAGGTAAAGTAGCAGTGCTTTAGTTGCTTTCTGCGCAACTGAGGCAGATGTCCAAGGTCCTAGTATCTTCTGCACACAAAATGGTCCGGGGTCAAGTCGATTCAAAACCATCCGTAGCTGGCATCGCTGTGTGTCGTAGCAAGCGCAGCTGCACAGTACGTGTTCGATGGTCTCTTCATCTCCGCAGTAGTCACATGTAGGAGTGTCTGCCATACCAATGCGAAAGGAGTACGCCTTTGTGAATGCAACACCCGACCAAAGGCGGCATAACAGTGTCGCATCGGAGCGGGAAAGTTGTGATGGTAGCTTTAGCTTGAGCGAAGGATCCAGTTCTTAAAATTGACACCTTTGGAAACTGGTAGACGACCAGAACGTGCGGATGAGATCTCGAGCCAGCAGGTAAAGTTGTCTTGCTGCATCATTCCTTGATAGAGGAATCGGGACTACACGGGTTTCTTCATGGGCTGAGCGGGCTGCATCATCGGCTAATTGATTTCCGGTAATACCGATATGTCCAGGCAGCCATTGATCTATAATATCATGTCCTCGTGCTAGAGCTTCATGATGGCCATGTCTTATTTCTTGTACCAGTTGGTCATGGCTCCTCCTACGCATGGCAGACTGCAAACTCTGAAGCGCTGCCTTCGAATTACAGAATATGACCCATTTTCCTGGACGTTCTTGAACGAGATATTGTAAAACAGCCCATATAGCAGCAAGCTCTGATGCCGTAGATGTAGTCATATGCGACAACTTAAACTTGATTGTCATTTCTGCAGCCGGAATTACAGCGGCACCTGATGAGCTGCTGGATGAGACGGACCCATCAGTGTATATCTGCGTTCAGTCTAAGTAGAACTCATGTGATAATAGCAGTGTTGCTTGCTTCAATGCTACTCTGGAGTGACTGCTTTTCTTTTTGATTCCCAGAATTTCTAGACGTACTTGCGGCTGGTCGAGGCACCACAAAGGGCATGCCGTACTCGCAGCTGGCGTATATCCTGATGGAATGCTGTTTAGGTGCTTGGCTAAGACGTCTGAAAACGTAACACGTGGTCTTCCAGTAGGTAGAAGGGCCAAGTGGTGGTCGGGGACACAGCTAGCATGTCGAATGTGCGCTGTGAGGCAATCCACAACTCTATATGTCCTGACCGGATGGTCTTTTGCAAGCATGATTGTGGCATAAGTAGAAGCGCATCGGGGCAGTCCTAGGCAGATACGCAGTGCCTGGCCCAGCAAACTCTCCAATGAATGAGTGTTAGTCAGTACCGGCAAGCTGTAGCGCAATAGACCCAGAAATAGGGCCCTGTACAGCTGTAGCATGGAGGCCACAGAAGTTCCCCATGCTTTACCGCACAAGAATTTCATGATATGCACAATAGATAGCAGTCTCTTCTTCAAGTACGCACAATGTGGGCTCCACGAAAGACTTCTGTCGATTATTATGCCCAGGAAACGATGCGTCCGTGCATATTTGACACTCTGCCCATTCTTGCAAACAGGGTATGGCGTCATTGGTTTGCGTGTAAACGCCATCAACGCGCACTTCACAGTTGATATATTTAGGCCTTGTTTCTGAAGGTAGGCTGTTGTGAGGGTTGCTGCCCGCTGTATTCGTGCACGCATCTGAGGGCGAGTAACTGCAGCACTCCAGAGGCAAATATCATCGGCGTATATGGATAGGCACACCGACTTTGGCAGAACCTTCACCAGACCAATGAGGGCCACATTGAACAATGTGGGGCTTAAGACACCTCCCTGAGGTACTCCGCAGTAGGTGTAATGTTGGGCAGTTGTACCCTCATATGTTTGTACAAAGAAACCCCTGCCAGTTATATAATCTTTTATCCATTGAAACATTCGTCCACCAATGGCCATTGCTGCGAGAGAAGTGAGGATGGCATCGTGAGCTACATTATCATATGCACCCTTCACGTCAAGAAAGAGTGCCACTGATATGCGCTTGCGACTTTTTTCTTGTTGAACAAATGTCGATAAATCAAGGACACAGTCAATGGAGGAGCGGCCCCGACGACAGGCTGCCATGCAAGAAGGGTATTTGGTGTATCGTTCCAAGTACCACTCGAGTCGAAATAAAACCATTCTTTCCATCACTTTTCCAAGGCAGCTTGCGAGGGCAATAGGGCGATACGCTGTCAAGTCCAATGGTGATTTTCCCGATTTCAAAAGTGGTATTAATCGACTTATTTTCCATTCTCGGGGAACACTGCCGCTGAGCCAGGAGTTGTTGAAACATGTTAAAAGTTCTTTTCTAGCTTTTTGTCCGAGGTGTCCCAACGCACTATAAGTAATACCATCAGGACCTGGTGATGACATGCGTTTAGAAGCGACTAACGCACCTTCCAGTTCTTCCATGGTGAATGATATGTCCATTTCTGGTAATCGCGCCTCAGGAACGATCACGGCGTCGATGCTCTCGTTCGTAATATTTACGGCAACTCTCGTGCAAAACTCTTCAGCCACCTCGAGTTCTGTTTTTCCATGATGGAGTGCCGAAGCTTTAAAAGGGTGCCGTTGTGTGGAGAGGAGCGAAGACCACGATCTGTTCTCCAGATATATGACAGTGGTTTATGAGGGTCTAGAGATTCGCAGAATGCTTTCCAGCGTTCGCTCTCCAGTTTGTAAATGCGTCGTTGAATCTTTTTCTGGAGCCGCCTTGCTTCCCTCAGATCGTAAATTGAACTTGTGCGTCTGTATCGTCGTTCAGCAAGCCGAACTGGAGGAGAAGGTTGTTACTCGAGTGGTGGCACGTTCAGGGAACAGCCCACGTCAACCGCTCTCACAGAACCCTTCCCCCAGTGTACACACATGGACTGCGCTCCACGACAAAACGAGAGAGAGAGAGAGACAGAGAGAGAGGTCATCAGCCACCCCTCGAGTGCTTTGAAGACGCTGCTGCTACGTAGCCTACGCAGTCACCCTGAAGAACGAACCAAGTCGGTTCCGAAACGTCGGGTCTCTTAAAAACTTTTGGTTGGAGCCTATAAAATCTCCCAGTTTCATACCCAACCAGACAGACTTCTGTCAGATGTTTACATTCAAATCTATCTATCTATCTATCTATCTATCTATCTATCGCTCCCGTTGTGCCATATCCCATACCTATATATATATATATATATATATATATATATATATATATATATATATATATATATATATATATATATATATATATATATATATATATATATATATATATATATATATATATATCGGTGGACGGACGGACGGACGGATGGATGAATGGATGGATGCATGGACGGACGGACGGATGATTGGATGGATGGATGGGTGGATGGATGGATGGATGGATGGATGGATGGATGGATGGATGGATGGATGGATGGATGGATGGATGGATGGATGGATGGATGGAGGAATGGATAAATGGAAGGATGGATGGATGGATGGATACTACCAAAGTCACCAAAGTTCACTAAGAAATGCTTGGCATTTATTAAATGAGGGCACTGTCAATACACGTTGATAAGGAAAACAATTCAGTAACAAAGCGCGATAGTAGATTATCAAAAAAATCAGGGCTTTAGAATTTTGTATAACTTTATGTACAGTAGCGGTAAGCCAGGAAGCCGTATTAGCATACTCAGCAGACGTTGAGTTGAGCCAGTTGGTCCATTTTGATTTTTTGAAGATTTTTGAAGACATCCATTTTAAAGATTTTTGTTAAGTGAGTGTTTTTGTAAGGAAGAAGGAAGAAGAAAGTTTAAGCGGAAAGACAGGGAGGTTAGCCAGTTCTTAGACCGGCTGGCTTCCCTGTGCTGGGGAAAGGCGTGAGGGGAATAAAAGATGTTAAAAAAATGTTGCGAAGACAGAGAGAGAGAGAAATTACAAAAAATGCGACATAGGAAAGGCAACATCAAACAGTATAAAACACTAAAGTCTGTTTCTGAGGCCAGTTGTCCGCAAAAAGCGCAGCAAAGCTTTCAAAGCATTCTGGGCTGAGGATGGGCTCGGCCAATGACCCAGAAACTTTTGTTCCGACTAAGGCCGATCATCCAGTCTATCCAGAGCTGCAGTAAGTTCTTGTCTTTGCGCGTTGAAATGGGTGCACTCACACAGAAGGTTCGTGATGGTTTCTTCGCAGCTGCAGTAAATACATGTAGAAGAGCTGGCCATTTCAATGAGATAAGAGTGCGCATTCGTGAAGGCCACTCCAAGACATAGGCGGTGCAGAAGAGTCTCCTCAGCTCGAGATATCCTTGAGGGAAAACGAAGCTGCAGATAGGGATCCAAGTTATGCAGGCGCGCGTTTTTTTTTTTTTTTGAAGTCTGTTGAGTTCCAGTGTACCAGTGTGAGGTCACGTGCAAGCGAACGAAGTCTTGTAGCTGCGTCGGTTCTTGAAAACGGCATGGCTGTGTATTGGGTACCATCGTGTGCAGAATTTGCGGCTTCTCCTGCGCGGTCATTGCCGTATATACCGCAATGACCTGGTATCCACTGATACACTATGCTGTGCTGTTTCTCGATTGCTTGGCGATGAAGAAGCCTTATTTCAGCTACTAATTGTTCATTAGGTTCATATCGAAAGGATGACATAAGACATTGGAGAGCTGCCTCCGAGTCTGAGAAGATAGACCAAGTTCCCGAAAGTTCTTCAAGTATAAACTCCAGAGCTGCACGTATGGCGGCGAGTTCTTCAGCTGTCGATGACGTCAAATGCTATGTCATGAATTTAATTGTGATGTGCCTCGCGGGAATAACCACCGCCCCTGCTGATCTTACTGAAGACACCGAGTCATTCGTGTAAATATGAAGGCGTCCGTTGTGCTTTTCTTGCAGGAAGAGAAGTAAGGATGAGTGTTCCTTCAAGCAACACTCATCTAGAAGCTCACTGTAAAGTTTGCGGATGTTATCGCGTGTTTATTGAAACCAAAACCATTTTTCGCCGTAACCATCAGCTGATTCGCCAGATAAATCTCACATCAGGAAGAGGGGGCATGACTGTGATAGCCAAGCCAGAATTGTGCTGCATGATAAGGAGTGCGTGTACCTAGACAATGATGGGACCGATGAGTGGGCTACAGGTGGACACCTACGCACCGGGACAGGAGGAACTCTTGGGAGGCTTCTTGACGACACAAACACACAATTTATTTACATAATTGCAGGAGTACAATAGATTAGGCATCGGGACGTGCCATTACATGAGACACCGCAGTCCCAAGCGAAGGCCAGAGAGAGAGCACTGAGCGAACACGCGACGCGCTTTTTATGCCCTCGTCCGTGCTCGTGCTTCTTGTCCGACGCCGACTGCACTTCTCAGCGCCGCCGATGCGCTTTCGATGTGGTGCACGCGGACGCCTTTTGCGTTGCTGCAGGAAGCAGATCGCGTTAGCAGGGCTCACCGATGATTGTCTCTTGCAGAGCTATGTCATTGTTCTGCCAGTCATAACAACACGCAGTGCTTGCAATATACTTTGATAATCCTAATTTGAGTGATTTTGTAGCACCCTGCCCTATTCCACATTCGCCAAGAATCATGTCTCTGTGTTTCCATACCTTTACTATTTAATGGCACATCAGTTGCGCTGTTCGTCCATTTTATGTTGTCCAAGTTTAGGTGTGCTTAATTTTTTTTTTTTGCATATTCAGATATTGTGTATACCCTTGTTAAATGGCCTTCAGGATTGCCGGCGTACTTAGCACGTTATATGGTCTTGTCATGAAAACGCTACCTGTGTTAATTGCCCACCCCCTAACCTCCTCTTACAGTATTTTCGCTAATTGAACCAGGGGTGATGAAGCTCAAGAAGTTGGTACATGAACCGATGCGACAGATCTTTTCGTACACACGGTCCGCTTTAATGTAATCAACAGGTTTCGTCACCATTTTTTTGCAGAGACAGACGGAAAGGGCTTTACTAAAAAGTTGTAATTGACAATAAAGTAGTTCTTTAGACTGGCTCGTTGTGTGCAATAATTTTATCAAGCCACTTCAATTAAACAAAGGTACATCTAAAAAGCACGTAATGCACATTGAGTACCGCCCAGAGTATACTTACACCAGTTAATCTCACGCCCGGTTTATTGCAGTCACCGTTTGCGCAAAGCTTAGCACTGACCCAATGCTTCAAAAGAAAACTTCCTAAAAACAGTATTTTATATATTTTCACATAATGCTGCCCTGTGCCAAAAAAATTAAAAAGTAACAATAATCACGTGTAGCCGTTACAATTTTAAGCTTATGTTATACAAATAGTTTTTAACAAGTGTAGTCACGTATTAACTCAGAGCACTGAACGAATGAGGCCAGGTACGTATCAGTGACGTAGCCAGGTGGTGGCGTATACCTGGGCCCGTGCCCTTACCCCCTTCCTCTTCCTAAACGTTTTAACGCGATAGCGTTAAAAAGCTCGTGTCGGAGAAAACCCGCCGCCGGCGTCGGCCCTGTTGGTTATGAGCGAAAAATCGTCTGTGCGCCTGTGAACGAAAAATAGAGTTACTGAGATAGCTGCGGGATGCCGCTACTGGTCCACGCGTGCACGCGCAATCACACTTAAAAAGCAGTGCATTTGAAGAAAAAAAAGTGCTCAAGATCACTAGGCGCGGTAGTTTCTTTGCCCTGCCACTCCTCCCTGTTTAGCTTGCAGCGCTTTCGTCGGAATGAGAGAAGAGATCATGCAATTGCAGCATGAGACAAACCCTTGTAACTCCACTCGCACTGGACGAATTCTTAAAATTTTTGCGGCGTGTAATTCGTGAAGCAATAAGCTCTTCTAGTGAATTCACTCCACGGTTACTTGAAAAAGTGTTTTTGGACACATTTAACATGTTTTGTTCGACAGATGTAATGACGAAAACGAGCCCATTCGGCGCGCTGGCCCAATCTACTCTGTGCGTGTTTGTGTGTGTGCATGTGTATGTAACAAAACATATCAATAAGTATGCACTTAGCGGTTGAAGGGTGCACTAAGGGTCGGATTTTGCTGCTACATTCAACTCCTAAATGCGAAGCTTAAGGGCCTCCCAGTTTTTTCGAATTAGCAAATAAAGCGAAAAAGGGCTGTTTCAAATCAATGGCACCCCCTGACCCCGAAATAAAATTTTTTCCTATGCTCCTAACGGTATGGAGTTCTATAATTTGACAGTGCGTGGAAGAAAGCTATAGCTCATGTATCAGTGCGCACAAAAAACGAAGCAAGATGAAGTCCGTGGAAGTTACGCGTAGATGAAGGCTTGAGAAGGGGAAACAAGCTGAGTTAGAAATGCAATATAAATTTTCTATTACGTTGTGTGAAAATGACAGATACGGAGTACCATGGTTTTCGTAGGACCACCTAAAAAGGTTCGGCAGATCCCACGTACCTTTGAAATCGATGTTATGCGAAGATGAGGAGGGAAGGTGACCATGTTTTAATTTTATTGAGTGATACGTTATGGAAATGAGGCTATTTATATGTAGTAGTGTGGCAGTTGCAGATGTTGGAATAACTACTTCCCTATTGAAAAAACGTCCATCATAGGAATAGTGGATTCCACCATCTACCATTTTGGTTTAGTATGGCGGTGGAAATGGTTGCACATGGTGTATGGTGGCGTATGGTGGAGCGGATGGTGGATGGCGCGCTCTAGTCGGCAATGCTGGAGCGCGAAGCAGCGCCAGAACCACCGTGACGAGCTGCCACTAAAGAAATAAGAAAAATAATTGTACAAAGAAAGATTTAGCAAGCACCCGTAAAAAATGAAGGTGCGGCAGAGCGGAATCGAACTTGGCACCTCCGAATTGCGAACTGCGCACACTAACCACTGCTCCACGCCGACAGATGGCGATTGTGTGTTAAAGGAGAAGTCAAATCACAAAGTCATTGTTTAACTTCGGATCTGTTTGTTGTTTGCTCGAGATTGACGGGATCTGCACCTGATACTAACCTTTGCACATTAGATAAACACGAACGATTGCCTGTAACGATTCCCACTGCGATAATGGCAACAGCGCTCTGTTTTTGTTGCAATTTACAACCGCGAGAAAAAAAAACACCTTAGTGAACTGAGGAGCAGCTAGAATTTATCGACGATTACTGCCAAGTTTAATATCCGTTTCTCGCTCTTTCCAAAGGGCGATATCTGTTCAGGCTTTATCACGCTTCGATGCTCATTCGATAATTACTCCCACACAATTGATTTTGATGTTCTTCGCGCAACGCACATCGCAGTCGTGCCAGCGCACCATTGTTGCTCTGTCGTTAGGAACAACTACATAACGGCTTGTCCAAAACTAATGCAGTGCGCCAGAAACATTATGCTACCATATTGGTTCAGTAGGCATACGAATTGACGTGTCTATGTTCTCGCATAAGAGCCAGCGAAGCGCCGGCGAGTGCGACCGGCGGCTGTCAGTGAGGCAAGGCGTACCTTTGGTGGAAGTGCTGCAAGCGCGTCGCATCGATGTTCGTCGCTTCTTGCGTCAACACCGCACACAATAAAAAGGCTTCATTTAGGGTGAATGATGCCGCAGCTGTGCTGTATTATCATTTTTACTCGTCAAAACCGTGTATACTGAAACTCAGAAGCGCCGATAACACTTGTACGGGCTCGGTCGGTATGACTAACCTTTGGGGGAAATTATGGTGGTAGAACAGAAGGGTGAAAGTCAAATTCGCTGGGGCTCCTCCCGACGCATGTCGAAAGTGAAAGTTATGCATATTCACACGCAGTTTGTTAACTTAAAGGGACAGCTCCAACAATAGAGTGTGCAAGAATTACCAGAGTTGCGTTTCTAACGTGGCGACAAGTGACCGCTGTGTTCTGCTCGAACATTGAAAGGGGCAATTGCGAACTGGAGCCCATGGAGCCCATTTCTTTGTCGACAACTGCTCGCCGATGTAAAACATTTATTGTCATGTTCACAGTGACAACTAAAGTCTTCTAAACATCACAACAAAGAATCACATCGCGGATGTCAAACTTATAGAAAAACCTAACCGAAAAATGCGTGACGTCACTTCCGTGCGGCGGAGCAGCCGTTTTTGTGTCGGGGTGGCTCGTGCGCCGCGCGGCGCAGCAGTTTCTGCCCATATTTTATGCTCCATAAAAATTGAAGCGTTAATTGTTCACACCACAGGAATAAAAAACAAAACGTACTGAAAGCGTATTGGGCAGCGTTGGTTTCTTTTGACCGTAAACATATATCTCTGCGCATTCAAGAATGAAACACTACTAATGAGTGATTTCACATACTGTCGTGCTTTTTATCGTGCCACCGTCATCCACCAAGCTTCCATCATGCCACCGTCATTCAACTTGCTCACCGAGCCTTCCACCAAACACGTTTTGCCTCGCCACCATGAGCAGGGCATTTTCCACCGTCACCATCATTGGCTCGCCACCACCAGCATCATCTGCCACCATTTCTTGCACTCTAGCCGTCATCAGCCGTCTTTTTCTACCGTCACCACCATTGGCTCGC